TGAATTGCATGAAAAACCAAAATTATCAACCATATGAAACCAAAATGCTTTTGACAGAACTATACCTCCTCAGGTGCCAGGTCAAAAACTTTACCACCAATAGTAAATGAAACACCGGGCATGGAAGAAAGACTGCTACAGTCAACTACTGATTCTCCATTTGGACTGGGCAGTCTTTCACAAAGCTGCAGTTACAACAGCAGAATAAGCATACAGTAAGGCAATTTTCCAAGATGCATAAGAATGATAATTCACCTCATTCACATAATCCAAGATCTGATCTTCTGTCTCATTTCTCCTGAGCTTATTTTGCATCCAGACCACAGCCATCTCACAAGCAGTACACATAGCATCATGGACACCATCAGAAGATTTGGCCATGATCTCATCTGCTACACTCTCAATTCGTGCACTGTACAGATATTAATTGATTAAATTTTAGATGTCAGAAGATATATCTTTGTAGTTGTACCACATTTTTAACAGTAATAGCAATAAGAAGGCAGGTTAAATCTGACCTGACACCTCGAGTCCCATCAAAAGTACAGAAACCAATTTGAGAGCAGATCTTTTGTGGTTGTGTCTGTAAAACACCGATAATCAAAGCAGCTATCAGTAGCTTGCAAGGAGTTACAAGGTGAAGAACTGTGCAAAGAATAAAATTGATCTATAGAATGTATCTTATTTCTGAGCAGTTTGATTAACTCAATCTCAAAGGTTTTTGCATTGGTTGCAAAGGATAGACAGTAGGGGGGAAAAGTTTCATTTCTCTTCAAGAGAAGGGTGTGATCTGCACAAAATTACAAAAGCGAAAGAAAGGAGAAACAACTCACCTCAGACACCAGCAGTTCCAGTATCGTTTTCCCATATTGTGAAACCATGGTCTTGCATTCTTGGCTAACAACACCAGAAGCCCCAATGGCATGATTAATTTGAGTAATGATAGTCTGCAAATGTGGAAATGATATTATTATATCAATTAAAATCTGCTACTTTTGTACCACCACACAATAGCAAAATTATAGCAAGGTAAAGCTATGTCCAAGCAATAGAAGATGAATTTCAAAAAGATAACACGTTCAAATGGTAAGACAGGTGTAAGTTGATTGTTTTGGATCACTTTCTAGCAAACATCTGATGTATCAAAATTTGCATAGATACATCAAAAGATAGAAAGGACAAGGCTAATGCAGGGAGTTCAAAGCCTGCAGGTTGCTTTGCTAAGATAGGCCCATTTTGAATAAAACAGAAGATTCTTTTTTTTTTTTTTTTGCTCTTTTGGATAAGGGGAGGGGAGTGGTGGGTGAAGGAGGAGGAAAATGGTCGTCTATTTCTAGAAAAATACCTAAATGTGCCAAATTCACCCAAAATAAAACCATTGGCAACTCTATATCATACAGGTAGGAGGACCCTGTACCCACATATTGCTGAGGCAAAGCCTTTCAGCATCACTGTAAAACTGCTCCAGAAAGGAAACAATAGAGAGCTTCAAGAGATCAAGCAATGCATAGAAATCATATATGAGCTATTTATTTTTCCAGAGGCAGTGTTGTCGAATCGTATCTAGTTCATACACTCAGATTACTTTGGAATTTCTCCTCCATTACAAGAAAAAGATTAGAAAAATTGAAAAGTGATTGTCCTTTACCGTGGGGCCTGCCAGCAAAGAAGTTCCAGAATCAGCAATTGCTGCACAACCACTGGAACAGAATCCTGAAAAAAGGTATGTTCATGTCTCAATACCATAGGCAACAAATTGGCAAAACCAATTGAGGTTTGATGTATTTGTCCACATAAGAAAGATTTAAAACAAGTTATGTGTGGGTACCAGTTGTTGCACCTCCAACCAGAACATCACCCATATCAAACTGCAAGTAGGCAAAACAGACAAACAAATCAGAACAGAAGTGAAGTTATGTCAACCATTGTAGAAACCGGCTGTATAACCAATTGCATCTCCAACCTGCCAGTAGCCTTTTTGAGTCACTGGAACATATGTGTGCTCTCCTTTATAATGATTAGAATCAATTCCGCCAAACACAATTTCTCCTCCTTCTTCACCTTCAATTTTGCGGTTCAACCAAAATGAAAAAACTGGTTCCTTAACAAGGCCTTGATTAACCATATTGTACCTACAAGTATTGCAGGTATATTGATTTAAAAAAATTATAGGAAACAGAAAAACCAATTTCAACCATAGACAATGTTATTTGCAGACAATGAGCAATTTGAAGTGGTTATCCTGAAAGTAATTCCTATTTCCTATTATGTTGAAGGCATAGACACAAAAGATTTACCAGACAGGCACAGCACCCCCAACTGAGATCTCTTGAAATCCAAGGCCAAATATGCCATCAAACTTGGCAGCCAAGAATGTGATGCCAGGCTCTCTGGTTGCCTCGATAAAATCCTGGCATTAGTGGAATTAATAAAGGGAATTCTAAAAAGGGTACCAAATTAAAGACCACCACAGTGAATATAGCACTTGGACTACCTGATTATTCACAACAAGATCACCGACTTTGACAGCATCCTGGCTAAAAAAACCTGAAATTGCTCCTGTTCCATATTGGATTGCAGCAGACGTCCCTGCAAAAAAATGAAACAGCAACTATTGTAAGAGTCAAGACGTGTTAGGTGGTTCGGGAATAGATGATTTTAAAACTCTGTTTCTGGTGTTTCTAAAAGTTAATTCACTAACAGATGCTCTAAATAATGACTTAAGGATGGATTGAACACTATTTCCATGCTTTCATACTTGGAACTCGTCTTGTAGGTTTCTTTTAGCCATAAGTCTATTTTATTCATATAGAACAGGCATATATCAGTCATGGGAAAATGACCATGAAGTTTTCATTAATGTGCATACGAATCAATATTACATGCAATATATAAGGTTACAGGCAAACAAAAATTGCTTATGAGTTTGCTCAAAAAGCACTTTGATTTAAATACTTGTAATTTTATTTTACAAGAGTTGAAAAAAAATTACAACTAATTAACTTAGCTTAGGAACAAAAGTGCTGAGCGTGTTATATTAAGCGTGTGAACAAAGCTGATTGAAATTTAGAAAACAAATCTGAAGAGCTTTAACTAGATAGCAAATTTTATAAGAGCTTTAACTGGTCAACCATAATATTTCTTACATTTACTCATAATACTTGCTAATTTTAATATTTGCATAAATCTTCTGAATCTAATTGCAACTTCTTAATCAGGAAATGTAAGAAATTTTTTCTGAGATTTTAGGTCTTTAATTATGATTATCTAGTTCAAGTTTGAACTCATATACAAGCTTGGAGTATGCTATAAACCACTTATAAGATGAGATCAAACTCATAACAAAATTCAAAGTTCCGAAATGATCTTCAGCTCATACTATTTTAATAAATTATTTGAGAACAACTTGAGATTTTCTTAACTAACCAAACTCAGTCTCAAATGTTTAAGCTCAATAAGAATTCCAACTTCATAAAAGTTTAAATAAATAAGTTCAAGCAGATATTGCCTGAATAATCCCATTTGCAGGCCTCCAGTGTAGATAAACATACCATTCTTTTGGTAGGTACTAGACTGACTGGACTTGTACTTGGAGTGAAAATAACAAGCAACCTGCATCCAAATGCAAAACCGTAAATATTCTTACTTTCAACATCTCCCATCTGGTACTCTTCTGCATCTCAAAATAGAGGTTAATGGGTTTTAAAGATATTTTCACACTTGTTTGGGTTAGGGTTTAGGATTTAGGGCACACAATAAAATTTGGTGAATTAAGATAGAAAGAAAGGCTCACTCCCACCCAAAAAATATATAAACAAAGAAGAACAAGATTTGGAACTTACAGAGAAATAGCACTTTGAAGAAGGGACCCAAAGATTGGAACTTCCTGTGTCAAATATCACAGTGAACGTCTGTGAAGGTGTGCCGATTCCAATCTCTCCAAAATACTGAGCATCCATGTAGTTCTTTAGTGCAACAATTTCAGAGTCATCAGAAGCCCCAAGATTTCCTTGGAGATGACACTTCCTTAAAGGAGTCCTTGACAGTTTCCCTTCCTTAGAGTCAATGTCTCCAGCAACCCTGTTGATTTGATCAAGTTTCTTCTTTATCAATCCAATTCTGACCATTCCTTCATTTGGCACAGAAAATACTACAGGAGACAGAAGGAGCACAAGGAGAAGTGCAACCCGAATGGCATTGAATTTGGTACCCATCTATGCTGCTGCAAAGCAAAAATTCAACTATTTTTAATGTAGATATAACTCACAAAAGCCAGCTGAAGCTACATAACACGATAAACCTTATTCTCAGCTGATGAGAAAATTTTTGTAAGTTAGAATCTAAGGATTCGTTTGAATCTCTTAAATGTTTTGATTCCAAGGTGCAGGTTAGATTGTGCTCAGTGAAGCTTTCAATCTCAAAAGTGAAACTATTTGTGTGACCTTTACCTATAAATAATCATAAGCATTTAGGTTGAGTGGTTCATCTAAAACTCCATTTAAATGTCACTTTTGCTACTTACATTTTGCTCCTCAAAGCGAGAAGTAAAAATAGCGTTTGCATACAAAAGCAAACACTACTAACATTTTGAGGAATTAAACATTAAAAATTGAACTTCTGCCAATAAGCAAATCCATGATTTTTCCCTTATAAGAAACAACATACTTGAAAAGCTGTTACATCCTAACTATTTGCTAATTTTTTCATCAAAATTAATTTTTCTTTTTATTCTTTATTTTGACTTTTTAGCAATCCTTAAGAAAGACACAAACAAATTAACAAAAGCAACAACTAAACAGAGCTGAAATATTTCCCTTCTCCATTTCCCCTTAAGTCAACAACTAAAACATAACATACAAGGAAAAGTCACAGCCTTAACATTTGCTCATTTGTCTCTCAGATTACATAAAGAAAGAGAAAACTAAAAGTATATCATGCGATCCTTCTTCTTTTTCAAAATTCCTCTTCGTTTCCACACTTTCCAGACAATCAAACAGAAACATTACAAAGTTTACTAACAACTCTGAAATTTCTAGAAAATAATTAGCATATGATTTTCTAAAAGATAATCTAAGCGAAAAAATATATATTATATATAGTTCGAAAAATAACATACCAGGAAAATCGATGCTAAAAAGAGAGACAGAAAGGGGGAAAACGAAGAGAAGGAGACAAAGACTGAGTCTCAAGATCAAAAGAAATCGGAGCAAGGAATAATAGAATCTTTGTTTTATCTTCAAGGAGTACGTATTTTCTTCGTCTCAACCGCTAATCTGACGCAGAGTTCTTCAATCGAACGGTATTAAATGTTTCTGCTTTTTAATTCAAAAAAAATATGTTTCTGCTTTTCAGTAGACCCCACTTAGAACGACGTGGCTGTTCATTGTTGGTTGCATAGGGGTAGACGAGTTAACACTGCTACTGGTCGCTGCTCAACTACCGGTCCACTGAAAGAGACTTAATCGAACTGAGAATTTCACCCGCTGATCTTTTTTCTATCGGTGATTGATGTGATTTTGGGATGAATCTCAGGCTCAAGCTGCCTGCGGCCCTAGCACCCAACCCAACATTTTGTTGGGTTTTGGACACCTCTTACTTTTTGTATGGGCCCAATAAATATCAGCTCCGATTAAAATGGCAATCAAATTATTTTATTATTTATTTCTTTTTTTATATTCTATTATGTTTTTTTGTTTTGAGGTTTCTGCCTGTGGTTTCTTGCCTTTGATGTGGTTCTCATGCTTTGGAAGGCAAGGTTGGGATGATGATGAGGGTTTTTAATCTTGTTGATGCTACCTCCTACTAGTACTTCATGTTACGGGGATGTGTTTTTCTCCTCTGCTACTTATTGTTTGCTCTCGAGTTTTTGTGATGATGATCTACTGCAGTGATGGAGTTTGAGAGGTTGATGTAGGAGTCTCTAGTGATCTTCTAAAATTTGACACTTGGGAGGTCTCAACAGTGTCAAGGTTGGGGTTGTGGCTCTTGGTTTCATCCCTGTGCTGTCTCTGAAGCATTTTATTCGAATCTTCCACCTCGTTTGGTATTGTGGAGTTTGATCTTGTTAATCGTCTATTGTGTGCCACTTTAGTTTGGACCTAGCACCACTTTTGTTGGTTAGACTTCTTGTAATGCCTCCCTGTTTATAAACGTCTGTAACTTCTCCTTTGCTTTGTTTTCATTAGCCACTAATTTTTGTGAGTGGCAGCTGTAAGGTTCTTGTACAAGTTCTCTTCTCAAACCGGGTTTTAGTGCCATGAGAGTTTTTGACCAACTAGACTAGAGACTTCACATGGGATCTTGATTTTGAGGTCAATAAAATCAATTTTCAAAAAATAATTAAAGAAAGTTTTATTAATGTGTTTAAAAGATTCCAAATTATAACCATAATTATACCAAAAAACCCAAACATAGTTAAAATTTAAATACAATATCAATCGAGGCCACTAACCGTACATAAGAGCTGAATCTACCAACTGATCACAAAGTTTGGTACAATCTGGATGCTCTAAAATGGAGTCTAATCTCCAAACTCTCCTACTTTCGGTTTTTTTTTTTACCTTTAAAACTTACCTAAACTTTTCTTCTCCTCTAACTGAAAGTAAATTATCCATTTAATCATTTAATTTTTTGAAAATTTTTATTTTGATTATTGACTAAGCCTCTCGACTTGCTTATACAGAAGGACTACGACGCTGCTCCTCCTAGAAGAAATGACTTTGGGAACAAAGAGGCCAACCATGAATATGATGAAATGCATATGCATGCAAAACGCGTGAATCAACCATGGTCATTGAAACGCCAAGTATGTCTCTCGTTTTTCTTCCCTTTTTAACAAACCTAGCGGCCATGAAATATATATTCTATTCTTTTTCCCGGTCCCCTTTGATAGAGCAATAGAAATCTTATTTGCCAAACAAAAAAGGGTAAAATGAAAACCATGACTTTGACGATGGAGAAATAAGAGCTAGCCCTTCGTATAGGTAACTTGCTCGTGACGTTCAATCTCGAGGCAAATGCACCGATAACCATATTCTCTTTTAAAGACTTTGATTTCGAACGTGAATGGGCGTCATCTCCAGCAAGTCTTTTTCTATCTGCTATAAAACCCCAAGTGGCCTAAGAAATAGAACATCATCGAAACGTGACAAGCAAAAAGCTCTGTTGGTCTTTTGTTTTACGTGTCAAACAAACCCCGCCTTTATTTTAAACACTTGGAGACGGATTTCTTGACTTCTTTTCTTCCAATACCATCCAATACACGTAACCCCAAGAACGAATTAAATTGAACGTTGCCTTCTTTTCTCTTCATGAGTTTGTCTTCATCTAAAGAAAAGATACAAACAGCAATTGAGAACAAACAACTGGATAGAAAGTTGAACACCCATCCTTTCATTTCCGGATCCATACGAGCAATAATAAGTACTACTAAGTAGTAATAATATAATCAGTGTTTGTTCTTCCCTTTCTCTTTAAATCTCTTTTTTAATCTTTTTCTTGACTTTACATTGACATACAAGTTGGAACAAAGTTATTCAGCTAACAAAAGAATACCCAAAATCTGATGGTTTACTTCTACCCCATCCTCAAAAAGCAAAATAGCTAGACATATGTATAATTTGCAGTTTTTCCCTGATCAAAAAGAAAGGAATAAAAGAAAAAAGTGCCCTTCTTCCTCCAAAAAAATAAAGAACAGAAGGTTATGATCTTAATTTCTTCTAATTTGCAGCAAAACTGGAATTGCTGATTTTATTGTTGCCATTGCTGTTGCTGTTGCTAGTAGTGGTGACATTGCCACTGCTGTTGGTGGCAGATGTGAAGTTGGTGGCATTATTATTAGGAACGTTGTTGGGGTGAGAACTCCCAATAATAGAGGTGATTGCTGCTGCTAGAGCTGCGGTGAAGTTAGGGTCAGCTGCAATGGCAGCAGTGGCTGCGCTTACAGTATCAGCCAGTGAATTTTGCTGGCCCTGTGGGAGTTGCTGACCCGATTGAGGCTGTTCCATATCCTGAGACATCTGGAGACCAGAAAATTTGGATTGGTTGTAAAGTGCCTGACCAAAAATTTGAGGCAGCAATGCAGCTGGGGAGTTGGCAAGATTGTGCGGTGGATTTGGAAATGGGACCTGGAATTGTCCTGGTAGCCTTGGGAATTGTAAAGGGCTTGGGGTCTGTGTTAGGTCCAAGGTGACGGTGGGGAATGGGGCTGAAGCTGATATCGTAGCCATGCTAGAGGAGCATGGCAGGAGAGTTCTTGTGAGGAAATTCGAGTTCATTAATCCATCAGCACTGGACATGGAACCTGATAGTAGCATTCGTGCTGCCGATGAGGTGGTGGATGCCATTGCCATTGCAGCTGGAGGCAAAGGGTGGTTGTGATTGCCTTCATATGTGGTGATGAGGATTGTTCGATCTTCTGCACATCTTTGTACCTTTAACATTCAGAATATTCAAGTTAATATTAAAAAAAAAAATTAATTTTTTAAAATTGATTATCAAACAAATTTCTCCGATAACGTAATACAAGTCCTCCTGGACTGGTCTCTGTGATATTGATTGAATTTCAATGCATCATTTAAAATTACAAGTACAACAAACTTTTCATGTTTAATATTTAATGCAAAACCTTTAGCAATCCCCTTGAAAGGCACAGGTTACCTGCTCCTTAAGAAAAAACATTGCAAATGAATTTGACGTTTCGAACTAATGTGAAATACCGGTTATACGAATCTTGAAAGTGATGCTAGAATTGGCTAGAAGTCCCAAAAAAGAAAAAAAAAAAGAGTTTGAAGAACAACCATTGGAGTACCTGTTTTCTAACTGGGCAACCAGCAGCCATGGTACATCGATAATATGCTCGAGGACATGGATTTCCCTTGGCCATTTTCTGTCCATACTTTCTCCATTGGCATCCATCAGTGATCTTTTCACAAAAAGAAGAAAGGAAGCATAATCCAATCAATTTTAACTCAGAACAAGACATAAAAACAAAATCATGAATTTTAAAGTCACATAATTCGATTCAATTCAGTTCAATCAAGTCACACACCATAGGCGCCTCTGATCTAGCTCTAACAGAAACTCGTGCCTTCCTCATGGTAGCCTCAGTTTGATCAACATTTTTTGAAGAATTAAATCTTGGAACCTTATTAGCACCCCAACCTTGGGATCCCTGATCCGGGCTATCCTCTCTGCCGGTTCCCCTCCCTTCTTCACTATTTCCACTCTTCCTCAATCCAAATTCCTTGGAAGCTACCTCCGTGTTATTATGAGGCGATCCTGAGCGGTCGTGACTCCTCCCTTCGGACGAAGACAGCGAAGGTTCATCAGCATCAGCTGCAGCAGCAGCGGCTAGACCAAGATCCATAAACTGTCTTGGCACTATTACTCCTCCATTTGGTTTCTTTTGTTCTGATTTTTCCTCCATCATCGGATCTTGTTCTTCAGCTTTTTCAGCTTTTCCATCATGCTGTTGCTGCATCAGGGTGACCAGATGCATCTGTACTGCGTTGTAGTTGCTAGTTACCTGGCTTAACGTCTCCCTTAACCGTTGATTCTCCTCCATCATTCGTTCCAGCTCAGCTTGTAAAACAGCTAGCTGGACAAAAAGCAATGGCACAGTAAAAACATGAATTTAAACACAAACAAAATCGCATAAATTTTCCAATTTTAAATTGAATGGTCACCTCATTTTTAGCTCTTTTAGCTCTTTTATCTTCCATGTTTGAGGATATCCCGTCATCCACTGTTGATTGATCGCTGCTAGTGTTTGTAGTTAACAGATTCAGACCAGTCTGAAAATTAAGGAGAAAAAAATTCAATAATTATTCTAATCCCAAATATACAAATCAAACTAATGAAAAAACTTGCAAAAAGAAATAAAGGGTAATGAGCTCACGTTAACGTTAAGCTCAAGAGCAGTTCGCTCGGTGGAGCCTTTGACGTCGGCATCGGAGGTGTGGATGGGATTGGCATCACCATCATCATCAGCATCAACAAGTTTATTATTCTTTTGTGCGAAAAAGTCCATCTCTCCCATGACCGTGCGTTTATGATCATCGGAGGGAAGAGAAGTGTGTTGATCAAGGGAGCAGTTGAGGTTAACAGGGAACTGAATGGTGGGTGGAGAAGACCTGCTTGCTGTTGTGGCATCCATGAGAGGAGTAGTAGGGAAAAAGACTTTGCTGCTGCGCTTGGAATTCTTGTTGTTAACAATATTGTTGTCTTTAGTTTCTTCAGGGAAAGAATTGAGGACAGTTGGCTTGTGAAGAAAGAAGGAATTGGGATCTAAATCAATGGAGAGTCCACTGCCTTCGGCCATAAATCAAGAGAGAGAGAGATGAGGCGGAGAGAATTCTTTAAACGGTGCAATGGACTCGGCAACAAAAGGGGAGTTGGGACTTTAGAAGAAGACCAAACAGTAGTAAATATACTAGTAAAAACACTAGTGTGTGATTTGTGTTCAATGTTTCTTTTCTTTCTTTCCTTCTTTCTTTTTTTTTATATAGTTTTAGATTAGAAATACCTCTACTCCAATCTAATATTACCTACATTTTCGATTTTCAACTCTCTTTCCTTAATTTTTTTTATCCTATATTTTCAATACTTTTCTTTTTCATAATTTAGTTTAATTTCCTTTAAAGCAAGGCTTGCCTTGTTTTCCCTCATATAACATATCTTATAATATGTAAATTACAATTTTATAATATTAATAAAAAAAATAAAGAAATGTACGAAATAATTATATTTAAATCGATCTTACATTTTTATGGATTCAATAATTTTGTTTTATTTTTCATTATTTACCTTTATTCCTTTGAGGAAACAAAGTTAAGACAAATAGATGAGAATTTTGTGTAATGATTTGTTTTTTTTTTTTTTGAGAAATACTAATCTAAAAAGAAACTAATAAAAGAATATGGTCCCTTTGCTTTCCCCACTTCCACCCAAGAAAACTTAAATTTGTAATTAAAAAAATCATTTTAAAAATGATAAATATTTATTTAATTAGTTGTCTTTCTACCATGGTTTTCAGTTCCTGAATTACTGGGATCAGTGTTATATTAGTAGGCTATTTGTTTTGTTGTTTGTAATTAATGGGTATTGGCAAAATCACAATTCACGTGCAAATCTGGTCAATATTTAGGGAGGAGGCTGCCCCTCCCTCATAGCCGAATCTGACGACTACGCTTCGGTGACGGTAAAAGAGACAGATGGCAAAGAAGTGGAGCCCACGTGATGAAAGACTGGGCCCAAAGCAAGGCCCAAACAGAGGAGAGGAGGGGAAAGTGGTTTGATTTCATTTTCCTTTGTAAAAACTAAAAAAAAAAAAATGAAGAAAAAGAAAAGAAAGTAGAGATTGGAGATTGACGCGTTCTAAAAATTCACCGCCCAGATTGGCCCGGCGCAATGGAAAAAGGTATATGAGTCAACGGTGATTGATGTGGAAAGTGGGAAGGCCCCGATGTATTCTTTTTATGGCTTATTATTAAACCCCGTAGGATTGGCTCGTACTCGGACCGATGCTAACGGGTTGACTCCGTTGGCTTTTCTCATGTGGACCGAATCCCTCCCAGTTGGTTTGTCTAGTCTTAGATTAATGGTCCCACTTTAGACTAACTCTTTCTTTCCATCCATTATTATTTTTGTTTTCAAAAATTATTTGACAACATTTTAATATTATCTTGAATATTTCCATACCGTCCACTTCACCTATTACTTCCGCAAAAAATAAATAATTATGTAAGATTAATAATCATAAATTTCATGTGGACATTCATGTCCACCTCCTCATCCAGTGGCGTCCAATTCAAATTTTGCCATTACATTTTACTGCTTAACCGTACAACTCCAGCAGTGATATTGAAAAAGGAAACTGACAGAAACATTAATCATGGTTTGGAATCACAGATGAAATTAAAATATGAAATCTGGACCTTGATAATTTATAAAGGAATTATAGAATGATGATATCCAATCTAGAAGACGTAACTGTTAACCTTTTGTACTTTGGATCCATTTGGTGTTGGATTGGTTGCATCCATTACAAGTTACAACAGGAAGAAAAATTCAAAAGTTAGTGAAAGTGGGCC